CACTCACTTCAGCCTCCCAAAGGCGCGGGATTACAGGCTGAGCCACCGAGCCCGGCTTCACCTCATCTTATAGAGAAGGAAACTGAGACTCAGACAGTTTACATAACCTGCTCACAGCCACCCAGCATGTTAGTGAAGCAGGAGAAGCAAACCCGCTCACTCTCCTATGATGACACTGTTACTGCTGGGGTGGTGGGAGCTGTTGGATTTCAGAAGTGGCCAGTTCATGCCTTCACAGTTCTCCTGCTGGTTGTCAGATAGTGTCCTCAAGTCAAGCATTGAAGGGAGTCGGGGAGTGAGCCATCGGCCTTGGGAAGAAATGCCCAAATCCGGCTTCAGGGCTGGCTGCGCAGGTATGGACTATGGTGGTGGCATTCAGACTTTGCTGTGTAGACAGTGACAAGACACTGAAAGGGCCTGAGTGGTGGACAATCCTCTCTGTCCTGCCTTCTTGTAAATTACCTTCTCCATCACTTACATCATCAGCCTTATTCCCCCAAGGGCATTTCTTCCTGAAGCAACCTGAGGAAAATTCCCAAATCCTGAGGCAAGAGTCAGTCCTTATCCTCTTCACGACCGTTGCGTCCATCATTGCTTCCATCTGCTGCAAAAATCAACCAAAACCAGGCTTTTAAAGAACCCAACAAGATCCTCAGAACCATGCCCTCCTCCCATCCCACCTCCACCCTCCCTTTTCTCCAACGCTCGCCATCAACCTAATGTACTGAACTAGCCACAAGGTGAGTTGACGTTTCACTCTGTCACCCAAGCTGGAGTGCAGTGGCATGCTCACGGCCACCGCAGTCACCACTTTGGAAGACTTAGCACAAAGCTGACATGACCGTACCCTGGTACCTCTCAGTCCCAGTCCCTCATGTACCCGACTGAACACTAAAAGAGCAGGAATGTTCCCAGCAGCACTTTTTATAATGTTCCCAAACTGGAAACAACCCAAATCACCATCAGCCATAGAAGGATATACACAAAATGGAACACCAAGAATAAACAAACTGCAATGACACACAGCATCATGGACGACTCTCCCCTTAACAACATGGCATGAAAGAAGCCAGAAGGCAAGAGTGGCACTACTGTACAATGCAACCGTGTAACCAAAAACTGTACCCCCTAAAGCTACTAAAATAAAATAATAATAAATACAATTTTTTGTAGAGATGGGGTCTTGCTATGTTGCCCAGGCTGGTCTTGAACTCCTGGCCTCAAGCAATCTTCCAGTCTTGGCCTCTCAAAGCACTGAGATTACAGGTGTGAGCCATTGTACTAGGCTCTTATCTCACTTTTGTCTAAAGTTTTAGAACTTTGAAATATTGTAGTAATCATAATGCCAAAATAACATGAAATTTTAAAGGAAAAAAAACAAAAAGCAAAACAAGTCCTGGTGCAGTGGCTCATGCCTGTTAGCCCAGCACTTTGGGAGGCAGAGGCAAGAGGATTGCCTGAGCCCGAGGATTTGAGACCAGCCTGGGCAATTTGGCAAGACCTTGTCTCTACAGTAAATCAAAAAATTAGCTGACTGTGGTGGCACATGCCTGTGGTTCCAGCTACTTGGAAGGCTGAGGTGGAAGGATCGCCTGAGCCCAGCAGATTGAGGCAGTGGTGGCTGTGAGCATGCCACTGCACTCCAGCTTGGGTGACAGAGTGAGACGCCAACTCAAAAAAAACCAATAATAATCCCCCAAAATAAAAAGTTAACACATGTTAGCATGTGAGGCCAAGGACTGGATTACAATCCACGTATTAGGATCAAGATGACAGCTGCCTGAGTGGGGGCGGAGATTGGGGTGCCGGTAGCATAATGTTCAGATGTTCAGTTCTTTTTTTTTTTGAGTTGGAGTCTCACACTGTCACCCAGACTGGAGTGCAGTGGCTACTCCCGGTCACCGCAGCCTCGACCTGCTGGGCTCCGGCGATCCTTCCGCCTCAGCCTTCCAAGTAACTGGAATTACAGGTGTGCACTACCACGCCTGGCTAATTTTTTGATTTATTGTAGAGATGAGGCTCAGGCAATCCACTCACCTCAGCCTCCCAAAGCACGGGATTACAGGCTGAGCCACCGAGCCCGGCTAATGTTCAGTTCTTAAATTGAATGCTTACGTGGAGGGAGAGGGGTGGAAATTCACCAAGCTGCCAATTTCTGCACTTTTCTGTATGTATGTTCTACTTAAAAATGACTTAAATATTCAGGAGACTTTTTTTTTTCTATCTAACATCTCAACTCCAAAGCCCATGACTGCCATTGACCTTGGTTCCACCCATTCCCAGGGCTGCCCCTTGTCAGCACCTGGTGTGAGATTTGCCACTGGATCCACGCTTCTCTCCCGGTCCCTCAGACCGCCCTGGCTCCCCTCTCCTTCAGCTCACACTTTGGTTGCACCCCTTAGCCCTTCTCTGGCCAGTACCTGCCCCATCATCCCTGCCCCGTCAGTGCCTGCCCTCTACACCCCACACAGCGTGTCCATCCCCTGCCCATCGTGAGCTCCTGAGGTCCCCAGAGTTCGGGTCCTGCAAGCGTACTCCCTCAACCCACCACAGAGCGAGCACCTGCTGTTACCCATGAGCCCCCCGGATGGGACCGCAGACCAGCTCTGTATGGGACATGCTTCGCCCCTGACCTTGGAGTGACCCAGTACCAGTCCAGATGCCCCCACTCGCCCACCACAGACACTCCTCCCATCTGTGGGGTCCCCTTTTCCCAAGGCCCCCCGTGCTGTCTGAGGCCCACCTCAACCCACCTACTCCCAGGCAGCTTTCCATCTTTCCGACCCTCAAGAGAACTCTCAGGACTGACCAGACCTCCTCGGTCTTGACCTCTGAGCCTGGCAGGGGGAACGTGTCCAGGACCTCAGCTGGGTATTCCCATCTTCTACCTCCAGGAACTCCCAAAAGTCTGCATCCACCCCTCCATGAACTCTGCGGCTCTATTGCACCCTCTGGTGGCCAATTGCAGCCACTTGGTGATGCCTGAGAAGGGTTGGCTGTTGAATCTACTTATGGCTCTTTGTATTTTCCCACCTGTCCCTGTCCTTTCTGGAAAACACCTCTGGACATACAGGGAAGCTCAGAGAACAAGATGAGCCAGTATACTAAACGTGGTTAAACTGGGGGGGGGGGACTCAGCCCCTCATGGACAGGAGAGGGGAGAGGAGGGAGGGGAGGGTAATTGCTGGGACCTGTGTCCTGGTCAAGAGGAAGAAAATCATATACCACCAACAACAAAAAGGAAGGCAAGAGGGGGGTGGTCACAGATGAGAACAAACATAAGGATACCCCTGAAATGAAATTAAGAGAAACATCTGAAACATCAATATGTATCAAGAGTGACAGCATTTGGCCGGGCTCGGTGGCTCAGCCTGTAATCCCAGCACCTTGGGAGGCCAAGGCGAGTGGACTGCCTGAGCCCGTGGGTCTGAGACCCACCCGGGCAACTTGGCAAGAACTTGTCTCTACAATAAATAAAAAATTAGCTGGGTGTGGTAGTGCACACCTGTGTTTCCGGCTACTTGGAAGGCTGAAGAAGAAGGATCGCCGGAGCCCAGTAGGTCGATGCTGGGGTGGCCGTGACTGTGCCACTGCACTCCAGTCTGGATGACAGAGTGAGACTCCAACTCAAAAAAAAAAAAATGAGTGCCAGCATTCATCACTAGCACCAGCCATGCTGAGAGAATCCTCTGAGGCATTTCAGAGTACCCAACCACCTAAGGTGTCCTCCCCCCAGGGGCTGAATCAGATCCATCTGATCAACTGAGTGGCTTCAGGAAGTGTTCTTTGTAAACAGGGTTGCCTGAGTTAGCAAACAAAAGTACAGGACACTCAGTGAAACTTGAATTTCAAATAAACAATAAACTTTTTATTTTAGAGACAGGGTTCCGCTCTGTCGCCGAGGCTGGCGTGCAGTGGCGCTATCATAGCTCACCACAGCCTTGAACTCCTGGGCTCAAATGATCCTCCCACCTTAGCCTCCTGAGTAGCTGAGACTGCAGGCATGCACCATCACACCCAGCTAATTTTTAAATTTTTTGTAGAGATGAAGTTATTGCTGTGTTGCCCAGGCTGGTCTCAAACTCTGGGCTCAGCTTCCCAAAGTGCTGGGATTACAGGCATGAAACACCATACCCGGCCCTGAACAATTTTTTTTTTTTTTTTTTTGAGTTGGAGTCTCACTCTGTCGCCCAGACTGGAGTGCAGTGGCCACTCCCGGCCACCGCAGCCTCGACCTGCTGGGCTCCAGTCATCCTTCCGCCTCAGCCTCCCAGTAGCTGGAACTACAGGCGTGCGCTACCACACCCTGCTAATTTTTGATTTATTGTAGAGATGAGGTCTCGCCAAGTTGCCCAGGCAGGTCTCGAACCCGCGGGCTCAGGCAATCCACTCACCTCAGCCTCCCAAAGGCACGGGATTACAGGCTGAGCCACCGAGCCCGGCTCAATTTTTTAAGCAGAAGTATGTTC